ACATTTTTCGAGTGGCCGTCTCACCAACCTCCCCAGCCGCGGTTTCCCTTTCTCCCCTCCTGCGATTGAGCCTGTGTTAGGCGTACAGGGGCCCTACTCAAACCAGCCTGTTTAATGTCAGGAGCCTTCAAATTGTGCGGTCTTCCCCAGCAGGCAGCCCTCTGGCAATGCATGTGATCTCGTATGTACTGAGTGGTTCTACACCAGGCACGTGCTAGGCACCTGACAAGCATTATCTCATTTCATCATCTGAGATGCTAAAATGATCCATTTCACAACGGAGAACACTAAGGTGCTGTTTTTACCTCATTTTAAAAATGAGAGTGCTGAGGTTTGGAGCTATTAAGTGGCTTGTCACCTCCACCCTCAAGGCCTCCCCTTCCTGCCCCCTCGTGGTGGGCCTGGGTAGAGCAGAACTGGCTGAGGCCTGGGCTGGACTGGAATGAACCCTTCAGAGAAGAGGAATGGCTCCTGCCCCAGTTCTGGCGGGGTTCCTGCCTCCTCGTGCTTTGTCACTGCTCCCCAAACTCTGGGCAGGGCCCTTGAGCTGCCAGCTTTGTACTGTGCCAGGGACACTTCCTTCTGATGTCAATGCCAGCCCCCTGGAAAGTGTCCTGGGTGGTGCCGGTGCGGAGGTGAAGGGCAGCCCTATGGGAGGGAGAAGGCATCATAGAAGAACATTAGAACATTACAGCCCACGTAGAACATTCTAGCCCACCCTTCTGCCATTTTACGGGTAAGGACACAAACCCACTCAGGGAGACCACTGGCCCAAGTCTTGTGATGGCAGAGCCAGGGCTGGAACCCAGGACTCTGAGCTGACGGTCTTTCCTCAGTCTTTAGCAGATCTTTCCCCCCGCTAATATGTTTTTATTGGTTTCAGAGGGAGGAAGAGGGGGGGGGGGACATCAATGATGAGAGAGAATCATTGATCAGCTGCTTCCTGCACACCCCCTCTGGTTTAAGGGGATGGGGTAGGGAAGACTTCCCTATTACAGATTTACAAATGAGAAAACTGTAATATAGTCGAGCCCGCAACCTGGGCATGTGCCCTGACTGGGAATCGAACAGTGACCTCCTGGTTCATAGGTCGACATTCAACCATTGAGCCATGCTGGCTGGCTTTAGCAGATCATTTTCTCCAGGGCCTGAATTATCTCCTCCCCCCCCACACCCCCCCACTCCCTGGACATGCTCCCTGTCAAATCCTGCCCCTCCTGCCCCCGGCCCAGCCCCGTGCCTCTTCCACAGAGGGATGTTTCTCTCCTGCGTCAGACCATTGGCTCTCTTAACTAGCCTGTAGCACATGGATTCTATTCCTCTACTTCCCTCTACTCCCCTGCTGATCTCTGAAACAGTGCCCAGGCGTAGGCCCTGCAATGGATACGGCACTGGGCCAGCTGCTCGGACACCTGAATTTGAACCTGGCTGGGGTGTGCCTCATGGAGGTCACTTCACTTCTCTGGGCCTCAGTTTCTCCTCTGGTCTAGACCACGGCTTTTCATACTCTGTCCATGGAGGCTGTCTCTGGCCAGAGGAGACAGAGCCCTGCCCCTGCCCTGGATTCACATTTTTATTTATTTCTTAAATACTTGGGCCTTTCTTAAATACTTGGTGGGGAGTAGGTATAGAAGCTGAAAGAAATTTGAGGTCCTTTCTGCTCTAATCTTGTTTTTCTTCGTGTCTCTCTCACTCCCAGTCGCTGGCAGGAATATAGCACCTAGCATAGAGTATTCTCAATAAATATTTGGTGGACAGAATTGAATGTGGATGTTGAACCTAGCTGGGCAGGGGCGAGACGTACAGGAAGTGCACGGCCTGGAGCCGGCTTCTAATGTGAAGAGGGCCTTGGAAATGGGACTAAAGCTGCCTTGAGTCTGCAGCTTCTGCTCCTTACCTCCTCCAGCTTCCCTCCTGGCTTGCCCGGAAGTGAGCCCGCCTCTCTCACAACCCTGCTATGGGGGCCACAATGTCCTCGCACAAACCCTGTTCCATCCCCTGCTGCCAGGGCCGCCCACGCACTGGGCGGACATGAGTCTGGCAGACGCTGGTGTGGCTGAGCTCTCCTGGAACAGGGTCAGAAGGGCCGTGGGGCTGGCATGGAGGGGAGCTCTGTGGCCTGGTCAGCAGGCCCCAAAGCCAGGCGGGCCGCCAGGGCCCAGGGCCCCCAAATGCAGGCCTTCCCAAGCTGTAGACGTCTGCGGGGGCTGATCTGGGAAGGGACAGGCTTTGTGCTTTTTCGTCAGTTGCAGCCCCTGTTTTACTTTGTGTGGGTATGTTAGTTCTACTTCCAAATCTTGGCTCCTCCTGGAGCTACAAATTACACTCTAGCCTTCATCCTGTAGCAGGGCTTCCATGCCCCAGGGAAGTCAGGGACCACCCCGCTTGTGCAAGTGTGGCTGCCCACAATTAGAAAAGGCTGTCTAGCAGTGTTTCACTCTGACCCAGGGAAGAAAAGGCCCGAGAAGAACAAAGGAGAACCGTTGTTACGGCCTCGAGAAGTTCCATCAGACACTTATTAGCGCAGTGTTTGAGCTTTATTGTCATTGTCATCTTTGTTGTCATTCCAGCTCCTGCCCACCTCTGAACGGCTCTAAATTTGACTTTATGACTATCTGCCACATTCTTTGGGTCACTCATCAAGAGTTAGTCATGCAGTCACCTCAGATTGTCCCAGCAGGAAAGTCTTTAGTCTTTAAGAGCCTGCTGTGTTCCAGGCACTGTTAGGGACTTTGCAAACTTTGTTTTATTTAGTCATCACAACAGCCCTGTGAGGGTCATCTGTCAGGATGCTTTTGGCTGCAAGTAACAGCAGCAACCTTAGCTCCATTGGATTGAGCCCGTGGTCCCTCACTGAACAATGAAGGAACTGAGGATCGCAGGAAATCGTCCAGAAGTGGGTGGCTCCAAAGCAGGATAACCCAGCTGCTGAACTGAGCTACGGGACCCAGGTTCTTGCCATGTCTCCATTCTATCATCTTTAGGGTGTTGGCTTGATTCTCTGAGTCGTTGTCCTCATCACAGCAAAATGGCTGCTGTGGCCCCCGCCATCACTTCAGACATCACATCCAGCTGCTGAAGGACAATTGTTTCTCTCATGTTTTAAGAGCAGGAGACTATTTCCTAGAACAACACACACGCCATAAACAACCCTCTCTGCATCTCATTGACCAGAACGGAGTCACAGGTCTATCCCAGAATGAATCACCAGCAAGGGAAACTTACCAAGCTAAGTTTACACTGATCAGAATTTCTCCCACCCCACTCCAGGCACATGGACTTCTGGGAAAATAATTCAGAGCACTAAGGAAGAAAGCAGTAGTGACAATTGGATAGCAATCAACAAAGTCTCCCACTGAGGTAATTATTGTTATCTCCATTTTACAGATGGGAAAACTGAGGCCAAGAGAAGTGAAGTAAGACGCCAAGTTAGGATTTGAACCCGGAACTCTTTGACGCCAAAGCCCTGGCTCTTTCTACTATGGGATGTACCAAGCACTATTCTCTATCTGCTTATGAGTAAGAAAGGTTCTTTTAAATATATATATATTTGATTTTTCACAGAGGGGAATGGAGAGGGATAGAGAGCTAGAAACATCGATGAGAGAGAAACATCGATCAGCTGCTTCCCGCACACCCCCCACTGGGGATGTGCCCACAACCAAGGTACATGCCCCTGACCGGAATTGAACCCGGGACCCTTCAGTCCGCAGGCCGACGCTCTATCCACTGAGCCAAACTGTTACGGCAGAAAGATTCTCATAGTCACATCTACCTCAAATTCTTGCTGGAACAGGGTAGGTATAAATAATATACATACAGACTCAAATACTATTTTACTGCCAATAAAATTACATTGTACAAATCTATATTCAGGCCCCTTCTCTTGACTAACATTTACTTAAGGCCTTCTAGGTGATGTGGGGGATAGAAGGTAAGCCCTAGCCTTGAACCACATCAAGTTGCCGGTAGGGAAGGTGTGTAGTTACAACTCTTCGTGACATATGCAGATTGCCATGGAGTATAGAGACAGAAATGCTGGAGGCCAGTTTCATGGGGAAGGTAAAAACAGAGTTGGGTTTTGGAAGATGTATACAAGTTTGCTCAAAGGAGAAGGGGGGTGGAAACATCCCACCTAGGCGGAGAAGGGAGCCTGCAAAGGCCTGGGCTTGACGGTTTACGTGGCATTCCAGGAACAAAGAGGGGCTTCATGTGGTCAGCAAGTAATCCAAGGGCAGGAAGAGGCAGAGAGAGGGGTTGGAGGCAGTTCCCAAGGGTCTTGTGTCCCAGTGAAGGGGTTTGTTTTGATTCTGTTCGGCGTCTGGAAGACTCTTTAAGCAGGACTGGGAAGTGATCAGATTTGAATGATTTTGAAAACTTGGAACCCCCTAATGAACCCAAGTGAATGTGAGTGGGCAATGCAAAAGGGAGGAATGGGTGGCTCGGATACAGATGTGTGCTCCAGATGTGTAGATTCCAGCACCAATTAAGTCACCAAGAAAGGATTAGAAGTTATTTCCCCCGGCATCAGCAATGTGGCCGACTCGGGACTGATGTGCCCATATGGGGATGAGAGGGGTCTTTCAAGGGTTCAAGGAGACTCACAGAGACCATGAATAATGATTAATGATTCTGAACAAACACACTGACACTGAGATGATTATGAAAAGCTAGCATCTACTGGGTGCTTTACTACATTCTAAACACTCAGCGAAGTACTCTGCATGCATTATCTTATTTCAGTCTTACATCTTGTGTAAGATTTAGGCTAAGTCAGGGGTGGGCAAACTTTTTGACTCGAGGGCCACAATGGGTTCTTAAACTGGACCGGAGGGCTGTAACAAAAGCATGGGTGGAGTGTTTGTGTGAACTAATGTAAATTCAAAGTAAACATCATTACATAAAAGGGTACGGTCTTTTTTTTCAATAGTTTTATTCATTTCAAACGGGCCGGATCCAGCCCGCGGGCCGTAGTTTGCCCATGGCTGGGCTAAGTTATAGGAAATTGCCAATATGTGATGTATTTACCTTAGGAAAACAGATCAAGAAGCCTGGAGGCTGGCATGGGTCACATAGTCACACGAAGCTGATCTAGAGTTCAAACCCAGGCCCGTCGGATGAGGACTCTAGAGTAAGGCAACCCTGAATTCTAATTCCAGCCATCACTTACCAGCTGTGTATCCTGGGACCAGTTTCTTAACCTCTCTGAGCTTCATTTCTTCATCTATAAAATGGGGACAATCCCTGAACCTTGTTCATTAGGTGTGGATTAGAGGAGAGGCCGCATTAAGACACTTAGCACAATGCCAGATGCAGAAGGGGTGTCCAGTGAACGTTAGCTGTGCTTGTCGTCGTTGCATCAGTATTCCAAAGCCTGGGCTGCTAAGCAACTTCCCAGCCTGCTGTGGGGGAGGTGCCTTCTGGAGTCAATGTGTGTTCCCTGGACAGAAAGGAAAAGAGATTTTACATGACCAGTTCCAGTGTTCCTGGTAAATAGTCTTCAAACGCACGCACGGTGGGAGGAGAGCCAGGCACCGTGTCTTCTGGTTTCCAGCACTGCAGGCCCCTGCTCGGTCCTTCCTCTCTGGAGGTCTTGGGTCCTCAAGATACTGAACAAACACACTGACTCTGAGATGATTCCTACACGTTAGCATCTACTGGGTGCTACTACATTCTACAGGGGACAGGCCCAGGAGGAAGCAGGCTTCCCACTGGAGAGTCGCTGGGGCAGCTCTGTGCTCACTCAAGGCAGCCTTCCTAGGAGCTCCTTCTGCCTCCTTTTCCCATGAACCAGCCTGAAGAAGAGGGTATTTCCGGGAAATCCCAGCTGCCTTTGCTCTGGAGAGCCACTTCCATCGGCGAGGGGTCCTGCGAGTCCCGCTGCCCTCAGGCCTCATGTATGCGCTTTCTGGTTTTGTGTCCAGATGTTTCTGATACATGCGTGCATGCCGCTGTGTGTGTGTTTCTGGGCCCAAGTGGAGCAGCGCTGGCATGGGCCGGGGGTTGGCAGCAACATCTCCAGGACACCTTTTACCCATTACATTCCTCGCCTGGGCGGGGCGCCTTCCTGCTGGGTGAGTATTGACTCCCTGCACTTCATCTACATCAGAGAGTGTTCTTTAGGCAGAAATTACAAGCACCGCTAACTTGAGAATAAAGGTCAAACCCTGGCCCCCAGCTGTTCTCAGTGGGTCTCTCGGAGGGGGTGGGGGTGCTTCCACTCTCAGACTGCCATTGAGGTAGCCCCGCGAATAAAAGGCTGAGAACAGGCGGGCCAACTAAACCACACCTTCAGTTCAGCGTTTTTTTGGATGCGCACAGATCTTTCCGGCAGCGTCTGCCCTTTTGCTTGGCTGGACTCTTGCACAAGACCTGGCTGCCCTTAGCTCAGTCTCTCTGAAAAACACGTCCAGCCCCCTCCAGAGAAACTCAAAACACAGACACTCCTTCTGCATTTTCCTGGAAACATTCTATAGCTCCAGCCTGGGAAAGCTTCCAAAAGTTCTGCCGAAGCAAAGATAACGAGAGAGAGAGAGAGAGAGAGAGAGAGAGAGAGAGAGAGAGAGAGAGAGAGAGAGAGAGAGAAAAGAAAAAGACATCATCTTTCATGGAGACTTTAGGATCCAGGAGCTTAGAAGCAGTTTAATCTGTGTCACTGGATTATTCATGTGTGGTGAGGAAAGGAAAAAGCAAGCATTTCCCAGGTCAATTTAAACATTTGTGCTGTTTGTTTTAAAGGCAATTTCGAAATAGTTTGGCCTCCCCTCCGCCCCACCGAGTGAATTTTTGGAATCTACGCAGTGGGCAAAAACTTATCCTTCCTTCCCCGACCTGGAAGGTTTTCACACCAGAGGCCCCACTCATTTCTGGCTTTTAGAAAGGACTTTCCCAGCCCTCCAAGATTCCCTGCCCTCCCTCACCCTGCCGACCGTAAGGAGTTATTTTTGCTCCACCCTGAAGCAGCTGCATTCCAGCTGTGGCGCTATTATGAAACATTTAGGAATCCTCTGGCCGGAAAGGTACATGAGGAATGTGTCCTAATGACACCTGGATGCTGGCAGAAAAATCTGTTGACAGAGAAGCACAAGGAACAAGTTCTCGACTTAGGGTTCCTTTTATCGTTCTGTGCAGAAGAGCCAGCTGTTAGCTTACTGAAAATGCTCTCAATGATCTTACAGACAAATGTGCTGACTGACCTGAACCCCCTTACTGTGAAACGCAAGAAAAGAAATTCAAACGTATTTGTGAAGAGTCAAAAATATTTTCACCTACTCATGAGCTCTCATCTTTTGTTTTGAATTTTTATTTATTGATTGATTTGAGAGAGAGAGAGAGAGAGAGAGACAGAGAGAGAGAGAGAGAGAGATTTGTTGTTCCACCTGGTTATGCACTCATTGGTTGATTCCCGTATGTGTCCTGACCAGGGATCGAACTCACAGCCCTGGCACACTGGACAATGCTCCAACCAACTGAGTTACCCGACCCGGGCAGCTCTCATCTTTTTAATAAAAGGCATCAACTTGCTCAAAACAAGCCTTTGGGACAATCAAAAATAAACAGACCCTGTAAACAGGTTATAGCAGAGGGCGGGAGAGTCTCTTGGGAGGTTCCCATCCTTTCCAAAGGTGGGGCCTTCGCCTGAGGATTCAAGTCCTTTAATACACAGAGGTTGGCCAGACAGGGCAGGCCGCAGCAATTGGCTTTTTAGGCAGCTGAAGTCCTCAGCAGCTGTCAGAACAACTGCCCCCAAGCCCTCTGGACTGTGGAGTGCTGTAGCATTAACGGGGCCTTTCCCTCAGTCTCCCCGCCATCATATTGCCTTCTGGCACTGCACGGTAGACCTCAGGCTAATGATAACCCATCTCACTACCTGATTTTAGACCAGCTGGCAGCAGCTGCCGGGCGACACGCTAGCTTATCCAAACCGCTTAATTTCCTGGGTCTTGAGATCCTATACCTTTTCACCGGGCATCATGGGCCACCAAGCCAGACAGCAACAATTAACTGCCATGGGAATGCTTTGAGAAGCCAGTATCCAGGGGGAGGCACTCCACGGAGGCCTCCACTTACTTCCTAGTGTTGAAAGCGGATATGGAAATTTAGTAGGAAAGCTGGTGGCCTCTGTCCCAGGGGGCCACTCACTCAGCTATTGTGAAAGCTTTCCTCTCCCCACTTCTTCCTGCTCCTGCTGTCCCACTTCAAACACTCCCCTCCATCCACCTTTTAACACCTCCCAGGCCACCACTGCCTCCGTCACCCCCACCACCATCACCATCATCGAATCAACAACCCGATTCTCACCCGGGTCCTTTCGGAGTGAAGCACACAGGGTTGCCATAGAGAGTGCCTGTACCTCGCCCCCCACCCCCACTCTCACCCCCCTCTGCATCCCCTACCTTTTGGGGTTTTGAGGCCCTACAAGGAAAGTACCAGGAAAGCCTGAAGCATTATCCCTCCCCAAAACAATGGCTTCCAGGGTCTGTGCCAGACACACTCACAGCACCCGAAATAGCCCCATTGTCTTCTTGTGTAACATCCAGGAATTTGGTGAAACTCATCATTTTTCAGGTTACCGATAATGCAAGTCTGGAAACTGAAACAGGAAGGAACACAAGCTGAAAAGGCTTTTATCCAGCCCACAGCATTTCTCTCTCCAGATGCAATAGGTTTTTTTTTGTTTTGTTGTGTGTGTGTGTGTGTGTGTGTGTTTTCAGCCATACTTTGGTGGGGTTAAAATTAGCTGGCAGCATTCTGGTCACATGCTAGACAGCAAAACAAAAGGGAGTTGTTCCGCCACAGCTCCTGAAGCAGCCCCAGCAGACCTTCCTAATCCACGGGCTTCTGGGACGCTGCCTCTTCAGGCCCCGGTGCAGAGGAGCCACCCCACCGTCGCCCCTTTGTTGTCCACCCACTGTAAAGGGGTAGAGCATGGGCAGTGCCAATGCTGTTTGCAATCTCGGGGCTTGCCTCCATCTGGGAAGGCACTCGAGAGCCCC